CTCTGTCGTGGCCTCACCCAGCGGGCAGCTGAACCACGCAGCTGCTCGCTCGCTCCCCCCCTCCCTCGGGGGGATAGGGGAGAGAATTGGGGGGAAAAAAGTAAAACCTGTGGGTTGAGATAAAGACAGTTTGATAAAACAGCTGAGGAAGAGAAGAACAACAATATTGGTAAGAGAATGCACAGAATACACAAAGCAAGCGATGCATAAGGCAACTGCTCACCACCCGCCGACCAATGCCCAGCCCGTCCCGAGCAGCGATCGCTCTTCCCCCGCCAACTCCCCTGAGCATGCCGTCGATCCGTGCCCCCTCCCGGCTTCTCGTGCCCCTGGCAGAGCAGGGGAAGCTGAAAAAAAAAAAAAGAGTCCTTGGCCAGTCTAGGCACCACTGAGCAACAGCTACAGCACCAGGGTGTTACCGACGTTCTTCTCAGCCTAGAACCAGAGCACAGCCCGACGCCAGCTACTAGGAAGAAAATTAACTCCATCCCAGCCCAAAGCAGGGCGCGCGCCCAGCTGCGCTGCAGGCAGCTGCCGGCTTTTTGGCAGATTCCGGTTTGTTTCGCTGAGCGCTTGGGCAGGGCGTTCGCCCGAGCCAGCCTGGGAGCCGGGGCTGGTACGCGCCCGGTCCTCGTGGTGTCAAACCCTGAGGTCAAGGGTGGCTGCCGCAGACACTGGCCGGTGGCCCGGGAAGGGGAGGGTGGCCCCGCGCTGGTGCCCTTGTGCCAGCCCGGCCAACGATTCGACCGCTCCATAGCTTCTTACAGAGATGGCGTGGTTGGGTTGGGGACGCGGCGGCTCCTCGTCCCCTCTTCTCGGGAGAGGGGGTTGGGGTTGTTTTGCTGAGCAATTGTGCAGCGGCTGCTGAAGGAATAACCCCAAAATTGATAACACTTCATTTCCTTGTTGTGTGCAGGTTTAGAGATGTTGTTGCTTGTTCAGGGACCTGCCAGCTGGGTTTCACTTTCACATCCTCCTGCCTGGTTGTGCCAGCACAAGTCCTTACCAAAAAAAAAAAGAGAAACCACCACCATTTTCCAAACAGTTTTTAACCTAATGAGAAGCAATTACGTCCTTCCCCCCCCTCCTCCAACACAAAATCTGGGGCTGGAAACGAGTTGTGCTCGTTTGGCTTTCTCCTTCTTTGCTCCCTGGCTTTAGTACGCAGCGAACGAGGAAAGCCTGAACCAAACGCCTGGAGGCAGAGGTTACCCAGGGCCCAGCCCTGAGTAAGCAGAAGTGAAAGGTATTTTTTGTCTTCGGCTGATCCATTCTGCGATCAGAGAAGGCTTCTGCACCTTCCTGCCCCGCAGCAGCCGGCGGGTCCGAGTCTGGTCAGCGCTGCCTGAAATTCTGAGTGTTTTTTTATTATTGGCTGAGAGGATAAAAGTGTGCGGAATGGGACGGCGTGTGCGCTGCCGGAGCACGGCCAGGCTTTCGTCTCGGATCCCAGGGCACTTTGCAGATGTTCGTTAAGTCCAGTAGCACCAGAGCCAGGCTGGGTCGGTCTCTAGGGAGTCCGCGGGGTTACAAAATGAGAGGCCTCTCACGGCCTCCCCGTCTCGTGCTGGGGTTGTGGCCCAGGAACCCTCTGCTCTGGCCACCAGCTGTGCCCCGGCGCCCATGGAGTTCCAGAAGGGCTGCGCACCCCCACGGTGCTGCAGGAGGGTGCTGGGTTTGAGCGGTTTTCTCCCCGTCCCATGTCCCAAGATGCCGTATGCGCTTCTCTGGGGGTACTGGGGCAGACTGGAGCGGAGGAGGGATTGTGCCATGAGAGACCTCCCTGCCCTCAAAGCTCACGCGTGGTTTTTGTTTCTTACATCACTGCTCAGGACCAAGAGAGACGAACGCCGCTGCATGCTGCTGCCTACATAGGAGATGTTGCAATCCTCGAGCTCCTCATACTGTCAGGTAAGGGCCAAGGCTCGGGGCGTTTGGCTCCAGCGCCGGCGCTGCCTTTAGGGCGTCTTTCTGATCTCTGGCCCGAGGGGCGCAGAGCAGTTTTGGTCACCCTCCAAGCAACCGTGTGCTCACGCTTAAGCCAGTGGGATTGCAGCCAGGGGAAAATTGGGAAACTCTGCCGTAATCCTCAGAGATTTGTTCAGGCAGAGAGGTGTCTTGGAACTGAAATAGCAGAAGAGGAAACCAAGCCAGGTGGGGGGATGTGGGCAAGGTGTTAGGAGGAGGGGGGTGCAAGGGGGATGGATGCCTCAGGGGCGCCTTGAGCGGCAGGGTGCTCAGGGGAGCAGAGTTTCACTTGCTCGTGGAGAGGGGTCAGCTGAAAACCAGAGGGTTTTGCTCAGATTTGGTGTGTTACTTGGTGTAAAGCCACCCTTCGTTTCCCTCCGGGGGCGCTCAGCCCTGTGCCGGGTCCTGTGCCCGTGCGGCGCAGACGGGAGTCTCCTCGTCCGCTGCTCACCAGCGCAGCACCTCAGGGCACCGCGGCCTTCGCGGCTGCTTGCTGGTGGTGTGGGGGAACCCGGGGGCTGGCGCCCTCCTACGTGGCCCTCACAAGGAGAGACTTGGGGAAATCCTTTGCCGAGGGCTTGTTAAACAGGATTGGGGATGTTCAGCTCCGCCTGCAAAGCATGGGGTGCCCTCACCTGCCCCGTGTTGATTTTTTTTCATGCCTGGGTGTTGAGTTCTCAGCCGCAAAGAAAGGCAGGGGCTTCCGGGGCCGTGGGGCCGAAGTGCCTAGCTCAGACCTGGAGCTGGCATGGCAGTAACCTGTCATCTTCCCTTTCTCATATGGAGATGCAGCTCGCAGCGACCACACCACAACAGGAGAAGCTCTGGGGTTCTGACTTGTTTTAAGCTAAGGAGCAGAACCGCTCGCTGGGTCTCTGCTGTGGTTTTTTGGCTCGGTGGGGAAGCTGGCTCTCTGGGAGCCGTAGCCTCCTCAGTCTCTGCCTTGCAGTGTCCTTTGCAGTGCACTGGCCCAGCCTCCTGGGGGGGGGCAGCTCCTTCCTCTCGCGGTTCACAGGGTCTGGCCTCACCTAAAGCTCACTGACCCTTGCTTTTGTTCTTCCTCAGGTGCTAATGTCAACGCAAAGGACACTGTTTGGCTCACTCCGTTACACCGCGCCGCGGCTTCTCGTAACGAGGTACGTTACGTCCCCTCTGGCTCTGCCTGCTCCTTGGTGGGGGGGGTGGGCACTGATGGAAGGGGGGGACCATGCTGCTGCTCCTCTAGTCCATCCTGCCTGGTTTTGGCTGCGATGGGTGTTCTCGTTAGAGCAGAGAGGGGGCGAACGCATAGGTCAGAGGCTGAAAATGAGAGCTGGAAAAAAAATCTCCTTGGTTCCTTTCGCTCCGTCCTTCAGGAGTTAGCACGTGGGTTTTCCTCGCAAGGTCTCCTCCCTGCCTTTCCCCCTCTCCCCAGGGCTTTGCCTAATCCAGCTTTACGTTTCTTTGAGGGACGGTGGGGCTCTCGCCCTTTCTCTCAGGAGCCGATTCCAACGGATCTTGTTGGAAAGATTTCCTGACGTTTAGCTTTTGTGGGCTTAACTTCGTCCCACTTAACTTTGTCCTGTTTTGAGTTGCTGGAAAACAAGAAACTCTGCGGTCCTGTTGGCTGGAGCCAGGGGACCCGTCACACTGACATGCAGGGCAAATTTCCACACACCGACTGCTTGCATGAGTTCTCTTCATCGGCAGCAGGCACGGGATGAAACACTTTCATGTAAAGCTCTACTGAAGGCGTTTGCTGTGAACGCGTGTGGACGGTTACTGGGGGCCGCTAAGACACGGGCGGGCGCTCAGCAAGCCGAGGCTGTTTTGCTGTCAGGTCTGAAGTGCTGCTTGCTGTGAATTTGAGCACGCTCGTTTGCGTCTCTGCCTCGGCTCGGGCGTGCTGGAGAGTCACCTCCCTCGTCCTGTTCTTCCCCAGGGTGCTTGGCACAGGGCTCCGCCAGCACCCTGCGTGCCCAGCTCCCGACAGGAGCCTTCCCGAAATGCCTGTGCGCTTCATGGCTTTTCCTGCCCGGAGCCTGCTCTCTAGGGTTGCCGGGTTTATGGGCTGCCTGGCCGTTCCATGTGCTTTTCCTAGCTGGGAGTGGTTTTGGCTGGCCCTGGGAGGAAGGAGCAGGGCAGCGAGCTGTGGGGCCGGGCTCGCTGGAAGCGCTGCCCTGATTCTGCATGGGAGGGGGGCAGCCTGTAAACCCCGGCAAGGAGAGCGCGGGGTCGCAGCAAACAGCCTCCACCAGTAAGAGGGGGAAATAATTCTCAAATATAGGCCAGTGGGTCATGTTTGTCATCCCCTGGGCGCTTCGCACCTCGTGAGTCATGGATGAACGCTGCTTACAGTTAAATCACGTGGCTCAGAGGTATTTCCCCCGTGCCAGCGTTTCACAGCTGCGCTCGGGTGGGATGAGCCCGGCTCATTCAGGTCCCACACGCTGAACTTCAGCCTGAAAGGAGCTGGAGCAGTCCAAGTGAGGGCTGGAGGATCTGCGTGGGGAAGATTCCTTCTCCCGGCTCATTCTTGGAGTCTCCCTCACGCTGTCTTTACCTCCCTCAGCCTTTCTCTGTGCTAACATTCCGAAACACAGCCATACATGGGCTTCAAAACGTCGCTGGGGACACAGAAGCAAACGAGTCCTTTCCTTTGACGGAGCGGGGAGAAGCCGTACTTGCGAGTGTGCGGTGCGGTTTCAGCTCAGCCTGCAAGGGCAGCTCTGGCTCTCGGGGCTGTGGGCTGGTGTGGATCCAGGCAGCCCCTCCGTGTGCTGAAAGCATGGGCTGGACCCTGTTGCAGCTTCCCCGACCTGGCTGGAGGGCTTCTGCAGGCTCCGGCAGGTTGGGTTAGAGCTCTGCTTTCCTCTGCTCCTGCTAGAAGGCACTTCACCTCCTCCTGAAGCACTCGGCAGATGTCAATGCCCGCGACAAGTATTGGCAAACGCCTCTGCACGTCGCTGCTGCCAACCGGGCCACCAAGTGCGTGGAGGCCATCATCCCGCTGCTGAGCACTGGCGGTGAAGGCGGGGGGGAACGGCAGCCGTGCCTCTCCACTGCTTCTCCCCATCTAGATGGTGAACCTGCTGTTGAACAAAGGGGCCAGCCTGAGTACTTGCGACAAGAAGGACCGCCAGCCCATCCACTGGGCAGCTTTCCTAGGTGGGTTTTCCCCATGAGCATCGGTCTGGTTTCTTCTCCCACGTTGCTTGGCTGCCTGTGGATTCACCTTTCGGGGTGGTGGGGCTCCCCGGAGGCCGCTGTGCCCAGGTCTCTCTTTTCCTGGCTCTTACCGCTGTCTCCTGGACAGGGCATTTGGAAGTTCTGAAGCTGCTGGTGGCCCGGGGAGCTGATGTGATGTGTAAGGACAAGAAGGGCTACACCCTGCTGCACACTGCGGCAGCCAGCGGCCAGATCGAAGTCGTGCGTCACCTGCTGAGGCTGGGAGTCGAGGTAAGACCCCGACGGCGGCGAGCGGGGTGGGCTGGGGCGCAGGCCAGTCTGGAGGGAGGAGAGGGTGCCGGGTGGTGGCGGGAGCCCTGGCTGGTTCTCAGCTGCCTTTTTTTTTTCTTCCCGAATCCCTAAATCCTTTGGGATTTGTTGCTCCCACAGATCGATGAACCAAATTCCTTCGGTAACACTGCACTTCACATTGCCTGTTATATGGGCCAAGATGCCGTGGCCAACGAGCTGGTCAATTACGGCGCCAACGTCAATCAGCCTAACGAGAAGGGCTTCACCCCTCTGCACTTTGCTGCCGTCTCCACCAATGGGGCCCTGTGCCTGGAGCTCCTCGTGAACAATGGGGCCGATGTCAACTTTCAGGTCTGGCACTTGAGGGGTTGAACTTGGGGATGTGGGGACCCGCTGCCCGAGGGGATTGCTCCGGGAGGGTGGTGGGAAGCCTGATGCGACATCGCTTCTGTTCTCCGCAGAGTAAGGAAGGGAAGAGCCCTTTGCACATGGCTGCCATTCACGGACGGTTCACACGTTCGCAGATCCTCATTCAGAATGGTGAGTGGCTTCTTCCTCCGTCCCTGGTTTACCCCAGCCTTTCCTTGTGCTCCTCAGCACCAGCCTCCAGGACCTCCCTGCGTGCTTGCTGGGAGGGTGAAGAGCTCTACAGTTACTGCACGAATTCAGTCTGTGCTCTTGTGGTTGTTGCCCGTGGCCCTGTGCTGCTTGGGGGTGGCAGGGAGCGTGCGTGCCCTCAAGGGCAGCAAAGTGCAGGCCAGGGGACTGAAATTCCAGTCAGGTCAGAGCTTCTGTGGCCAAAGAGCATTCCCACTGCCACGTCCAGCCTGAAAGACAATATTCTTGTGAGAGGGCTGTAGGCTGAGTGGATGGCTCCAAGGGTTCAGCTGGAGACCTCCAGGGCTGAACACATCCCCTCCTGGGGCAAGGGGGAGAGATCTAACGCCCGCATTTACAGGATACAGGTGGGCTCTCAGCTCCAAGGGCCGTTTACAGTTCTCCTTCTGCATGAGGCTGAACAGAGTTGAGTTATTAGCCATGTCCCTGAGGTGGGGACGCGGCCGTTGGAACAGCCTGGGCTGCTCGTAACCAGAAGGCAGAGACCCGCTGGCGAAGCACTCGGCTTTTTCTTTCTAGGCAGTGAGATTGACTGTGCTGACAAATATGGCAATACCCCCCTCCACGTTGCTGCTAGATATGGCCACGAGCTGCTAATTAGTACTTTGATGACGAATGGTGCTGACACTGCAAGGTAAGGAAATACTCTCCCTTCCTTTCCCTGCCCTGGGCTGGAGGACGCGGGAATGATCCACCCTGACTCCCTTCTTGTCTCCTGGCAGGCGTGGGATCCACGACATGTTCCCTCTGCACTTAGCTGTTCTCTTTGGATTTTCAGACTGTTGTCGTAAGCTACTTTCCTCAGGTGAGTGGCTCCGCCGCCCCCTCCTGCGGCGGAGGCAGTCGGGGGACCCTGGAGCTCCCCACTGACCCCCCGCCCCTCCTGCCACCCAGGTCAGTTGTACAGTATCGTCTCCTCGCTGAGCAATGAGCACGTGCTGTCTGCAGGCTTCGATATCAACACGCCTGACAACCTCGGGAGGACTTGCCTCCACGCTGCTGCTTCTGGAGGGTGAGCTGAGCACGGGGCGCTGGTCCCGCGTTGCGTGCAGGAGGGTCGCTGCCTGCCCCCAGCCCAAACCGCAGCCCTCCTCTCCACCCATGAACTACGGCGGGGGCAGCCCAGTGCAGCGCTTCGCTCAGGATTGGGAGTCGGACCCCTGGGTGCCGTTCCCAGCTCTGAGAGAGAAGGGAGACCTGTATTTAGAGCTGGAATGAAAATGGAAACCGTTTGGCCCTGTTCTGCCGCTGACTCCGTGACTCATCCCGGTCGCTCCCCTCCGTGGCTGTTTACCCTTCTTCAGAACGGGGCTAAAACGCTTCCTTGGCTGGGGCTTCGCGAAGGGCTCCCCCGATGCCTGGAAAGCAGCAGGGATTGAACTGGCTGTGTAAATGCCTCATCTTGTTTGCCAGGGAGTCTGATTTCACGCGGTGCGTTAGGAGCGAGCGTGGCTGCAGGAATACGGCAGGGGCGTAGGGTCCTCTCGAGGACCTCGTTTCCGCCATGTCTGTACGATGCTCCAGCGCTGGTCACGGAGCCGTCCTTTGGCGCCGCGGCCCTGCTGCCCTGCCCGAGCGGTGGCAACAAGGCACTGATGCAGAAGCCAGAAATCCTAGATCTTTTTCGTAGCATAAAATCCAGCGTGCCAGCGGCACTAACGCCGCGGCTAATGTCTTTCTGTAATTGCCTGGTTGGTCGAGAGCTCCACGCAGCGAGGGGTAGGGCTGGTAGGGCAGGAAGATGACAAACTGAACCGAGCTTTGGCGTGTCCGGGCTGCGCGGGCTCTGCTGTCTTGTCTGCAGCTGGGAGGAGCTTGCATTCCTG